TATATATATATATATGTATATATATATATATGTATATATATATATATATATATATATATATATATATATATATATATATATAGAGAGAGAGAGAGAGAGAGAGAGAGAGAGAGAGAGAGAGAGGTAGGGACATCTCTAGGGTTCTTGGATAGAAGACTTAGATGGTTATCCCACATGAAAAGGTTCATTTCAAGGGAATAATTTTGCAAGATTTGATGATATATCATTTAATTAATGGTAGAGAATTAGGGTGTTGTAGGTGGGCACTAAAGCCGATTTGCTAGCTAGTGTATCCATGCAACTATGATCTTGGGCTAGATAGAATTGCTTCAATCATGATTAGCTTTGAAGTGGTAATACCTTTAAAATGGATCAAGTCTAATCATAAAACAATCCCTAGGCTTGTTTCTAGGACCCAGACTAAAATCTCACATCAATAAGAGGATTCACTTAGACCAAACTGGCATCTCATCAAGCTAGACGAAGCTTGAAAGGAAAGAAATAATAAAGAAAACTACATCTTGGTCTATGATGTGATTTTAATTAAGCATTGCTATGAGATATATAAACAAGAGAAGAGACATTAATAATCATAATCGAAAAACATTGTTTTCACTATTTATCTGAAACTTAATTGCGGCTCAGTGCATGAGACTTTCATGCACCAAATTTAGATGGGAAAATCAACAATGATGAAGATGATAATCCAACTCCTTGTTACTATTAAATGAGATTGAAAAAATATAAATATATCAATCATCCTTGTCAAGAGCTCATGTCCCTCACTACAATTTATGTTGAAGCATCCTGCAAGCCCTCTTGATAAATAGAGATAGAAGACACGGCATTATTGTTGTCTAGGGGATACTAGAAATAGTAAGCTACCACCAAAGCATGATTAAAGCTCCATCTTGCTTCAAAGATTACCTTTATGGACTGTGTGTTACTAACCCAACAATCATAGTAAATTTGCATGGACCAACCTTTATTTATTACAAACCTTTCAAGAAATGACACACTGTAGACCTAGCTATTTTGAGAAAGAAAAATTGTTGATAACGACAAACTTAATAACACCGAGGTCTGAAATAAAGGAGAACTTTGGGCAAGTACTAAATAATGTATCTAAATCTGTGGAAGACCCAGTTCAATAGTAACTTCAGCTTGTAGTTGTCTACAACTTGCAGCATGTATGTCAAGAAAAACCACAGCACTTCAACACGTGCAAGTGTGTATAGATTTGAAGGTGTTCGCCCTCATCCTTTAATCTCTCTCTCTCTCTCTCCCTCCCTATTATGGTTTGCATTATTGGGTGAATTGTCAAGAAAAATCTTCAACACTCTTTGAAAAATTATGAAATAGGTTTTTATCTTTTAATGATCATTCTATCCTTATCGACCATTACCCTTTGCCTCAAACAATCGCTCGTTACTGTTCGCAACCCTCACCATCACTGATCATATCTCTCACGTGATAACCTATCGCCTGTAATACTCCTATCGCTACTAGTGGATATCATATAAAAGCCCATCCCTACAATCTTCGTCATTATTGCTCGTAGTCCTCGTGCGAGGGCCTATTGCCCGTAACCCATCACTTGTAGCTCTCATGGGCTCTTGCCCAAAATAACCATAAACTTACCCTCTCCCTTTGTCCGCGAGGGCCCGATGGCCTATTGACTTTGTCGTCATTACTTGTGATCCTCTTAGACTTTAACCTAGAAATAACTCTAAATTCATCTCTTCCCCTTGCTTATAACCTTCGTCATTGTCGCTCACAATCCTAAGTATTAGACCTGCCCTCTTCTTTCTCATATGAGGGTTACAGGAGAACGATGATGTAGAGAGAAGATGATGATGGTATAAGGGTAAAATAGTCTTTTGATAAGACTAGGGATGTTCTGTGAAAATTTTTTAAAGTTGATGCTTTAGAGAAAATTCTGAAAGTTAAACATTTTTTTAAAAATCACCCATTATTTTTTTACTTTTTTTTTTTTCTGGTCTCTCTCCTCTTTATATTGCGGTTTATGTTATTATGATATGCGATGCCAAGCTACGTAAGCGGAGGCAAGGCAAGTCCCGCACTTGCATGCACACATATCGACATGGGCGAACTCCTGATCCCGCGCCCGCCCTCCCCTCATCCCCATGCCCGCTTTAAATATCTCTCTCTACAATGGGGTTCCCGTGATGCTGCTGGGACTGATCACTGACTGCTGCTGCGTTATAAAGTCTCGACGCAGCTAATATATGGGATATGGTATCGATGCATTCACGAGAGATTCTTGTGGCCGCGTTAATAATGTGTGCAGGTGTCTGACAGGCGACACTGCATGCTTTTGAATAGCAGCAGAATCGAGGAAGAAGAACACGTAATAGAAGCCGAGCAGGGCAGCGTAGTAACATTACGTGCATGGGAAGTGTCCAGTTTCCCACGTACCTTCTGAAAGGTGGCGCCCATGTCAAAGCAAAAAAAAAAAAAACAATTTTAATGAGATTTCAATAATATTAAAATCTAAAATTGGCTTCGAATTGCAGTACTGATGCAGAATCAATCATATTTATCTTTTATTTAAATAAATTTAATTAATTTAGAGATTATTTTACATATCATAAGTTATACTATCTAGTTTTAGTTTAATAAAAAAAAGCAAAGAATTTAAAAGAAATCAAGATTGTGATTTAAGATTTTAAATTTTGATAAAAGATTTTATGAAGATTTATCTCTATGATAATAGAAACATATCAATAAAAATATTTTTTAAAAAAAAATCAAACAATATATTTGATTTGATTCAATTATAAATTTTGTATTTTTATTTTTATTTTCTTTGATTGTACTTAGCCTATAAAAATGAGCGAATCAATCAGCAATAAATAATGAAATAAGTTCTTTTCCTACTTGAGTGTGAGTAGTACGAGACTACATTTGGTACAATTCTATTATTCACGTGTGAGCCTTTATCCTAAAAGTGTTCTCCTTAAGCTAGAGCGAGTATAGTACTTATCTAATTATTTTTCTACTATCTTTCAATTACTATCTTTTATTTCTCTCTTTTATGTTTCTATATTATAAAAAAATTCTCATCCTACATCAAATTGATACTAGAGCTCTTGGTTCAATC